AGGAATAAATGAACAGTAAAACCCGACAACTTGCACTTAAAGAAGTGCTCGTCGCAAGCATGCGACGATTCTTTAATTCGCCGCCATGAGTAGTTGCGAATTGATTCAAGCTGAATTTCTGTGGGGCTCCATTAACTTGTACCAACCCTTATGAGTCGGTAAAATTTAGGGAATTTTGCTGCGAAATTATAGTTCCTACAGCCAAAACATTGCATTTTTTCACACTTAAGACACTTCGCGCTAAGAATTGTTAGTGATCAGCATTTTCATCAGAAAACGATTGGGAGGGAGGGATAAAAAATAAAAAATCATACACTACGAAGCCAGGGAAAACTTGGGGATTTTAATGTTCAAAATATCTAAAAAGTCAAGGAATGTTTAAATTCAAGTAAATTTGCCACCCTCCAAAGAGCGATGATCACGATAGCTCGTGATTCCGCTCGATTTTGCCGACGGCGCACATTGAATCGAGTCAATCGGAGATAGGTCGGACATGAAATTTTTTACTAAAACTGCAAATTTTGATATTTATTTTGTTACATTTTAAATTCCAAGGGCTACCTTGACAAGAACATTTCACGAGAAACCAATAGAACCACTTTTAGAATCTCAAAGTTTCGTATAAACGGAGTTATAAGCGTTTGAAGTTTCCAAATTTTGTCCCATCGACTCGATCCACTGTGCGGCGGGCCCGAAAATTGCACCATTTGACAACTCGGTCTCTTACGGAAGATGGAATCAAAAGGAAACCATTTTCTTGATATTTCTATGTATATTAAATGATAAGATTCAGAAGAAGGTTAAGTGTGTAAGTGCCGATAAAGTCAGGCGAGTAATTTTATTGCACTGCATGATAGTCTACTTTTTATTTGTACATTATTCATCATTAATTTACTAATTTCCTTTTTTTCAAGTTGATTAAATACTCAATCCGCCGTATCTTGGTGCAACGACGACGTATTAATGCGACGAGCGACTTATTTTGTTATCGTAAATGGAAAAAATCGAAGGCGCCCCGGCTTTTTCTATGGCCAGGTCTGGATGCAACTATTCGTGTTCTCTGGATGTCCATGTTGCTTACCAAAAAATTGAAGGCGCTCTAGGTTTCTTAATCAGAATGCATGGCTGCGGGGCGCGAGCGTTAGTTCTCAAGGGTTATGTAAGTTGCACTTACAATCCTTTTTACCTCAGAGTTCAAATAACTCGTGTTGCATCACGGCAACATTGCCAAATGGTGCAAATTTTCCACCGAAAACATTCCCACAAAGACATCGTGAGTGTTATTCTCGCAAATTACAACCTTTAACATTTTGCACAATTTGACAGCGCTGCCGTAGTGCTACACGACTCGTCAGGGTGTCTACAAGTCCGGAATTGGAATGTCCGGAAATAGTGCTGATTTTTCAAGGGCGGTGCGGAAGTACTGAAAAAGTGCGGAAATTCCGCAAGAGGCCCGGAATTATTTTAATTTTTGTCGCAATTTGAGCAGGAAATCCAAATTTTTCGAATTTCTTCAGTTGAAAGTATTGAAAAAGTACTGAATTTTTCGGAAATGTACTGAAAAAGCACTTTAAAAGTACTGATTTTTGGCCAGCCTATTTTAGTAGACACCCTGCTTGTCCAAATTTTGAATATTCAATACTAAACACGATTGTGAATGCACTGTAGACAACCCGCAAAACCAACAACGGTCGCAGCCATGTTACGCCGAAGAAATCCAGAACGCGCGCCTACAATGTCTTGTGTATGCAACACGGACATCCAAAGAACACGTAAAGTTGCATCCAGACCTAGCCGTTGAGAAAGCCGCAGAGCGTTTAATTTTTTTCGCTCGTGATGTCAAAATATGTCACTCATTGAATTCATACGTCGTTTGCTCGACGATCTAAAGAGAGAAAATAGAGAAATGAGTAACTAACCTGGAACGTGAAAGAAAATAAGAAAAAAAGTAGCTTTAATTAGGCAGCACCATTCTTGATTCAAGAAAAAATTATCTTTGTGGCTTAAAGTTTTTTTCCAGTATATTCTCAGTCTGAGTGTCCATTACTTTCATCGGAAGACGCAATTCGAAAGGGGTTAACGGCGTGTTATTGCGTTTAAAGAAAACTTCGCCCAAGTTCAAAGACACTCGAACCAAGGCGAGAGATGAACAGGCAGATGATTGATGACCCCCGAACAACCCCCATCGCTGCCGGTCATTTATCCCCCTTCAGAATTCAGCGCCCAAGTATATCAATTTGTGGGGATGATCAAATCAAAGATACCGTCGGGAATCTGACGGAGGGGTTTAGCGTGACGTCATTCAACCGAACAACTCGACAGAGAATCGATGCTTTAACGAATTAGCGGTATTTTTCGAGACGTGATACTTTAAGCCACCTCTCACCGATAGCCTTTTATTGTAACCGTTTTAGGAGGAATCGCCAACATTAATGAAAGAAGAAAAATGGGATATTTCAGGGTGTCTACAAGTCCGTAAATAGTACTGATTTTTCAGAGCGGCGCGGAAGTACCGAAAAAGTGCGGACATTCCGAAAAGAGGTCCAGAATTTTCCCCATTTTTTTATTGTCATTGTCGTCGCAATTTAGGCGAGAAATTCAAATTTTTCGAATCTCGTCAAATAGAGGTACTGAAAAAGTACCGACTTTTTTTGTTGAGGAGGTACTGAATTTCTTGGTAATGTACCGAAAAAAGTACTGTAAAAGTATACTGATTTTTGGTCAGCCTCTTTCAGTAGACACCCTGTATGTTTTCCGTGCTCTGTGCATGAAGCAGAAGCGATTCTTGAATGTTGGCAACACTGTCTTTCTTCCATTTAAATCCATTAAAAATGTCGATTCTTGGTGAGGCAACTTACCTCACCTAAAATCGATGTTTTTAATGGATTTAAATTGAGGAAAAACTGTTCCAACTTGCAAAATCACCACGAGCATCGATGTAGCCACCTTTTCGTTTCAGGATGCTGATCCGATGTAAATGGTCAACAAGCGGCTTGTCATTTTTACAAAATTTCTTTCTAAAAGTCAGAAAGAATTACTTATCGACGGTGAAAGTCGGCAATCACATAACTCGGTTTGCAACGTCGCAGACTTCCTGTCATACTTTATTTTTTAAATGGAATACTACTCAACGGCAATTCTTTAAAACTGTCATGATTTTTCTTCTCAATGCGAAGAAAATTCTGCAAAAACTTCAAGAAATAATATCAATTTGTTCTCCTTTAAAAAAATGACGTAGAGGCGGAGATTTTCAGACACCGCAAACGAGTTATGTGATTGCCGACTTTCACCGTCGTTATGACTTTTTGGGTAGGTATTTCGAGCTGGAGGATATCATCACGCGCAGCTCAATCTACAATACCCTCCCCCCCCCCCCC